ACAAAGTACCGGTCATTAATAAATAAAAGACATATATATATATATATATATATATTCCGTATACACCAAGTAATCATAAGGAGTAACAAGTATAGGTCGGGTCATAGTATACAAATTCAATACATCGTTTTCTAGTACAAAAACATACTTTCAGATAGAACATTGAGTAAACTAAACTAGAAACTTAATAGTGAAAGGTTTAATCCATTTTACCAGTACAACTTAAAGGACCTTAAGTGGTTAATTCTATAATACCTTAGTTTATACATCAGGGTTATATATATGTAATATCCGATAGATATTTAAATGTGTGCTTTCCGCCTCATTCCCTGTTCCTTGTTTGATTGTGGGTTTAGGGTAGATTCACACAATTAACTATCTGTTCGATATTAGATTATATATAGCTAGTATAAAGTAAGTGATTATAGAAGGACCTATTATGGTTACCATTTTTACTAAATGAAATAAGGTTTTCTTAAAGAATGTTTTCATCAAATATAAATGAACTATTAAAATTAACTCCGTGAGAACCAAATGAATGCTCCAAGGTTATATACAATAAAGATCTAACAAACAATGGGATGTGTGATTTCCGCCTCATTCCTTGTTCCTTGTTTGGTTGTGGGTTTAGGGCAGATTTACACAATTGATTGTTTGTTTGATCTGTATTCTATATAACTTATATTCATTTAGTACTCATAGAAAAGATTGTAGAATCATTTTTACTATTTTGCATCATATCAGAAGATATAGGATCTTCTAGAGGAACATGCGAACTATTCTAAAAAGAGCTTTCAAATTACTAATACATCACATAAATACTTATGAACTCACCAGCCTTAATGCTGATCTACTCTTTCAAAATAACTTGTATTCTTAGGAGACTAGTAGACAGGTACGCGCACTGGGATGCAGAAGATGGAGCAGTATAGCTTCATGTCTTATTTTGTTATTTACTTTGTAGTCTATGTTATGTGACCACATACTTTGTAAACACTTTCTTTCTAATGAAATGGTTGTTTATTACTTTGATTACTATGATGCAAGTCTTGTGATACTAAACATGACGTCCTCCACCCCCGAACGTTTCCGCCGTTCCGGTTTTGGGGTGTGACAAAACTCCATTAATGAGGTAGGCAGTACGACTAGAGGTCGACCGTCTCCATAGGTTAAACATAATAAAATTGATTTAATGTTCATGATTGATCTAGTAACTTGGAAAATTTGAGAAGTCACCAGGACCAATGAGACTGATCATACCAATTGATTCATTACATAATATGAATGAATAGACTGGGTCTCAGAGAGCTATCCTTGCTGGTACAACTTAGAATCATAGGATTAGTGATTTGACCATATGATCTAATCAATTTAGGAATCACATAATTTCTATCAAGACTTTATTGCACTTTGCATGAACTAATCATAATCATAAAGTGATTCGAAACCTAATCAAAATTACTATCAATCAAAAGTAATTAACTTGTACTTTATTTTAAAGTTATATTGTCTATTTTATTTAATTTACATTTTAAGTTCCATATTAGTTTTATTTGGTACACTTCGATTCCTTTTGAGTTTGACACCCTTAGCTATACTATTCATGATCAAGTACATTGGTTGGTGCTAATAGTCAGTTCGGTTTGTTAGGTTTTATAAATTTAAAACTAGATTTGTATTAAAAAAATTATTTTCTTAGACTATCCATAGTATATCAACAAACAACAAAACATCAATATTAATATTCATGGATCTTTAATCAAACAAACATAATAGATTAAATAACTTCTAAATCCTTTCAATGAATCAGTGCATAATCAAATAAGTTCATCTACATTATAAAAAAGTATAGGGAACTTATCCCATAATTAAGACAAAATAAACAAGAGAAATCAAAGGAATGCTAATCCTAATGTAAAGCAAACCGAAACGACTTCCGTCAGATCGATTACGCCTTCTTTTGCACCTCTTATGCTCTGAATCTTCTAGGTTTCCGCTCTTCTCTATCGTTGTATGTTTTTGGTAGAAATTAAGGTTCTATTTATAGCATTTCTAACCGACCTAAATTCGCAACACAATTCCTTAAATTTGATATTTTTCTTCAGTATCTTCAGATTTCTTTCCTTGCTAATCTTCAACTATTTTTCTTGGTTGATACTTCAGGAAAGTATTCTCAAATTCGCCCTTTTCAACTTCTATTTCATCAATGCACCATTTTTAGTTGCAAATATAAATATAAAGTAATTAAGTACCTTTTGTCCTATGTTTACCACTAAAACATTCATAAAAGTAATTGAAATGTCCTTAAGAATATATATATAATTTAAGACACATCAACACTTTATTAATCAAACCCTAGAATGTGATCTGGATCGCTTTTAGTCGTTACCCACTTTATTCACACCCTTTGCAACTTTCTATTGTTTTATATCACATGGTTTTACACTCCAAATCGATTTTAGTCCTCGCCTATTTCAATATGTAACCGTATGAAGATGAGTTGCATCAATTTCATGGTTTCTACCACCATCATGTTCATAAATGCATCAAGATATGTCTTTTAATATTTATGAGAGTTCCAATTTCATTCATGTCATGGGTTACAAATGCCCTCCTGGTCTTTAGTACTAACTTCAACATCGAAATACTAATTGTCTCATATGTGTCTTCTTAGCTGGGAATGAAGAAGGCACAAACATGAGAAAGAAAGGCCATGAAGATGAATTCATTTCAAGAACTAGAAAAACCTAAACCCAAAACTAAAGGAGATGAAATTGTGGTGGTGGAATATTTGGTTAGGTGGTAGGAAGATAATGAAGGGGAGGAAAATGCATCGTCAATGATGGTGATAGTCAATAGGATATGTGAAGGTGACGAAGACGATGGAGTGAGAGTGTGGTAGTCTAATCGAGTCCTACAATTAAGAGAAGGGAGGGGATAAGGTGGGAATGGGGTCTATATTATTTAGTAGGCTGGATAATATTATAAATAATAATAACAATTACAAAATATTAAAAATACAACTAATAACAAAATAGTTATTTAAACTTGACCGTGATCAAAACTGAAACAAAACCAAACCAAATTAATTGAACGAATGAAAAAATTTGATTGGACGAAACCTGCAATTTATCCCAAAACACAGGGATGGCTCATGTAATTTTGAAAGGGTAATGCATGAAGACTGAAGAGTTATGTAAAAAAAGACTATATGAATCATCGAGATCACTCTTCTTTACCACTTCCTTGATACGATTATCCGATTCTCTAACGCTATACCATATGTTCGATTTAAAAAAATATATATATTTATAAATTTATTTTATATAAATATGTATTTGGTGGTGGGGGGCTGTTATACCAAAATGGTGAAGCAAGATGCCGTGCGGTTGCGGTTGGATTATAATTTGACGACAAATTTAGACTCTTACCGTCCTTGCTGGAGAATCCCATGTGAACTAATAATTTAGTGAACAAATATATTGTTGATATAATTCCATGAGAAGCAATTGTTTATTTTTTGTAATTATATTATTCCCATTGTCGTTTGAATTTCAGAAAAAAATATATTCCATTGTTAAAATAAAATCTCTTAAAACACGGTTTTGTTTCGTTCCCATGAATAAACCCAGATTCACGTAAAATTTCATCATGAAAAAACCCATTTGACGAGCCCACATATGGATTTTAAGTGTAATGGTCCTCACAAGACATTGTTTGTTTGTTCGATTTTTTCTTTCAATAATTCAGTGTTTTCATGCTCATTTCACATACCCGAAAAAAAACCTTGTTCTAACACCATTATAAACGAATGATTTTCTATACCATCATTATTTTTAACATAATAAAACTGATTTTATAATTTTTAAAAGCTTTCTTACAATAATATTAGCTGAAAATAATAATATTTAAAAGTTTTAATCGTAGGGTGACAACCGTGTCATATTCGGGTTGCTAGGTCAAAAAAGCTCAACCTAGACTCAACCTACATAAATATTTTTGTTGTTTTGTTCAACCCTAATATGGATTAGCCATAAACAAACAAACTTACATAACCCGTTTAATTATATGGGTTCGCGAGTCAAAGTCAGGTTTGTGGGTCAGTATCGAGTTTGTAGGTCACGAGAAAAAAAAATCTAAATGTCATATATTTTACTTATTAGTCCTTACTATCTCCTTAATATAAAAAATATATTTTTTATTTTTTTAATCTAATAAAATAAATGGGTTCATAGGTCAACCTGTAAAATATTTTGCAAACGCGAACACGATTTGTATAATAAATGGGTGGGGTTGCGGATTAACATGTTTCAGGTAAGAAAAACTCAACTCAAGACTGTTATTTTCGTATCGAAATCATGTCATGTCACACATCATATAGAGAATTGACAACCTAATTAAATGTTAGTTATCATTCAAAATATTTGCTTAATTATCGTTTTGAATGTCGATTGCTAAAATGTAAACACACAAATGGGAAACCTTAGTATTTAAATGATGACCACGAAATGTCGAAAACCGTCCATAAAATAGAAACCAATACAATTTACCAAATATCACAATAAATTTAAAACTACATAAATAAATAAAACAAAATTATGTTTTGCCATTATCATTGTGTGAAGAGACCATGTGGCCTGCATTTAACATAATCAGGTTCTAATTAATGCCCAAATTCTTTTTCCAATACCAACCTGGGAACCCCCCAAGAAATTATACCTAAAGTTAGGAAATAGCTCTATAAAAAGAAAAGACTCAATTAAATACTGGATCCGCTAACCCCACCCCCATCTACACCCTAACACCCACATCCATAACTATTGGATCCCATTCTACATGTTTTTTTCTCCTTTTTCCCTTTCCTTCATCTTCGACTCAACAAAAAGTGGATGTGTTTCCTTCATCTCTAAGTGCCAAATTTGTAGAACAAGCAAACAAATTCAAACACTTGTCTCTTGAAGATCCTCATCTAATTAAACAAAGGAAGAAATCAAGACAATATGCATGCCAAAAGGTACCATCTCTCTCTCTCTCTCTCTCTCTCTCTATATATATATATATATATATATATATATATATATATATATATATATATACATACATACACACACGCATACACACATCCTAGCTATCTATGTTTGTTGAAGAAAATTTGATCGGTGGATATGGAGTTTAGATGTGTTAAACACAAAAACCTAGCTAGTTTTGATAGTTGTTTACCAGATATTAACATCAGTAATCATGGTCCAAGGATACAAAGCTTTATTTCTCCACAAAGTAATATATGGGTCATCGTGTACGTGAAGTCCTCTTCTATATACTTTTTCACAAGGTTTACTTTAATTAACTCCTTTTCAGATGTTTTGGAGGTTCGTAAGTGAAGGATTTGTATACAATTAATTAATCATATCTAGACTTTGTAAAATCGATATTTTTGTGATTAAAATATTCAATTTTGGTAAGGAAAGAGTGATTGGCATTCTTCGAGCTAAAGTAGGTCAGAAAACAATGTTTAATTCACAATTCTTCGAATTAAAGTAGGTACGAAAACAATGTTTAGATGTATGAGTATGGAAAATATATATATATATATATATATATATATAATAATAATAATAATAATAATAATAATACTAGAAATCAAAACACAATAATAATAATAATAATAATAATAATTACTCGATGGTAAATTATATATATACTAGAAATCAAAACACAATTATGACAGTTATTGGTTACAAAACCATATTTATTTATTTTGATATTTTTATTTGTGCTGGTGTCAGTGTCTTAGTAATATGAGATACAGCTATGTTATAACTTATAACTAATGTGGACAAGCTTAGTTCTGGTCTTCTGAATAGGCGATGCTTTCTTAAACTAACCTGGATTTGGCTTTGGCTTCTAAATATTTGGATATATTCAAAGTAAGTTGCTAAAAAGTAAAAAGTAAACATAAATGAAATGCCTTTTGAATTGTTCTTAAACAAATACAACTTTTTCATTATACAAACGAGAAATTAAATATCATCTTATATATTTTTTTTCTATTTATCTTCCTACCTATATAATGACAAGTGTCATATTTTTTATAAAATTAAGACATTAGTCGTCATTTCACATGTATAAAAAGATATGTAGGAAAAATAGTACGAGGATATTTAATTTCTCTTTACAAATATCTTCTTAGATTTAGTTGTTTGATAAATAGCAATATTATGCGATTGTAATTGGTATATAAACCTTTTTTTAAATTGTATGGATATTGAATATTTGAATGCTAATAAAAGCAATGATAAAAGTATATGCCATAACATTGTTAAATGACCTAGAAACAAAGATAAAGCGTTTTTATTTATCTAAGAAAGATCTATTAGGTTGTTTGTTTCTTCTAAAAGTCGTAATGTAACTCAATCTTTATATTTTCCAATAATAAAATTTAAAAGGCAATTGACATGGACAAGACATGATTTGGTCAATCATATAAAATGGAAAGTAAAAACTAAAACCAAAATCCATGCTTAAATTAATTGAGTTTAAATAGTAAACCTCAATATCATCAAATGAGTTTTGATCAAATTTAATTTTCTATTTATATTCTTATATATTTTCATGGGCGGAGTTACGTTGGCTGCCCTCAATAAAAAAATATATATATGTTTTTTTTAAATAATATATTTTGACCCTATAAAATAATATATTTTCACTTTTCTAAAATATTTTACTGTCATAAAATAATTAAAATTCTTTTCCCCTCTTCGGAAAAAGTTTTTAGGTCCGCACTAGCTTTCATCGTATTAAACAACATACAAAAAAGACAAGTATTTTCACAAAAAAACACAAAAACTTTGTTGACATATATACTTGATTATGTCCCCGCATGCTTATTCCCTCTACAAGAAAATGAGAGATGCCATCATAATCACCATGTATATTTCTGCAGTTTTGATGGTTTGTTTACCTTTTTATATTCAGAAAATTCAAAGATATCGCTTACCATTATTTAATTTTTAATTCAATATTTTTTACAAATTAGATGATACATTCAACTATCTTTTCGTTTTCTTAATCATCAATTAACCACAAACTATTAGTTATATTAGTTTTATCTTACTAATTAAGCCTAAACATACTATTGGTGCGTCAATGACATTGCCAAATACATGGCATCCACTACATGTATTTAAAATAAGTATTATTGAGGGAAATTTCATAAAAACCACTTTATTTTGGTTTTTTTCGGTTTAGACACCGAAATAGTTTTTTCCAATTTAACCATTAAAATTTGTTTTATTTTTCATAAAAACCATGAATTTATTCGATTTAACCACTCAAAATTTTCTTTTTTATTTAACCATTAAAACTTTGATTTTTTTTTTCTTAAAATAAAGGGTATATGTCATTTTTTGGTCACTTAATTTTTGATTTTGTGCTCATTTGGTCATTTAACTAATTTTAAGTTTTAAAAGGTCACCAAACTTTTGGCTTTGTGCTCATTTATTCACCTAATTTTTGGTTTGGTTACTTAACTTTTGGATTTGTACTTATTTAGTCACCTAATTTTTAAAAATATGCTCATTTAGTCACCTAACTTTTAAAATTGTGCTCAGTTTTATAGCTTTATTTTAAAAGTTTAGTGACTAAACGAACACAATTTTAAAAGTTAGGTGACTAAATGAGCACAAATCCAAAAGTCAAGTGACCAAAACAAAAATTATGTGACTAAATGAACATAAAACCAAAAATTAGATGACCTTTTTAAACTTAAAAATAGTTAAGTAACCAAATGATCACAAAAATCAAAAGTTAAGTAATAAAAAATGACCTAAACCCTAAAATAAACCATGCTTAACAAAACCAAATTTTCAGTGGTTAAACCGAAATTAAAACAATCAGAACAAAATAAATTGTTCTGATTGCAGTCTACTCGTCAATACCAAAAAAGAACATACAATGATTATTATGGAAAACAAAACCAAATTTTCAGTGGTTAAACCGAAATTAAAACAATTTTCAGTGTTTAAATGAAAAAAAATATATTTTTAATAGTTAAACCGAAAAAAAAATCAAACTATAATGATTTTTATAAAAGTTTCTATATTAGGAAAACATAGTAGTAGTTGAACAAACATGTCAAACTAAAAAATAAAAAAATATATATTTTTAATATTTTGGGTTTTAATTTGTAGTTGAGAAACTTTTTGAAATTCGAATGTAGGTTGTCTTTACATAGATTACTTTCTATAACCATATTATATCTTACATAAAATGATAAAATAATAAAGAATCGACGGAAATACAACCTAGTGCATTACATGTTAAAGATCCAAAATAGTAAATACAAAGTAGCAATAAAGGCGGTGGAGTGTTTGGGTGGAAGTCAATGATGGACCACTGTACAATCACCGGCCATGCCGTCCGATGAACATAATATCGCAGACGTGGGTGGTCCAACCGCAGGCACGAGTCGCCGTTTCCGGAATGGCGGAGTGCCTGTCACAATCGTATGACTCTTGGGTCGGGTCGGGTCAGTCAACCCACATTCTTTTTGTTGAACTTATCCCACTTGTCTACTGTCTCCCTCATCCCTGTCCGTGTCTTTCTACGGCAGGAATCAGAGTAGCTGAAAAGGGAACATCTTCACATATCATCGGGTCCCACCATTATCTACATCCATCTTTATTATTAAAATCAAATTATCATATATATATATATAAAAAGTTTGTATTTGTATTTGTGAAAGTCTTTTAAAGTATAAAAATTTACCTTTTTGACCAAAAAATATTGACTGGTTCTTTGTAAATCAGGATAACTTTCGATTTCTGAACCATTCTTGAAATTCTCTATTGTTGGCGTGACTTGAAAATTTTTGTGGTTATATACATATATTAGAGAAATTCAATATGATTTTATATTTTGTTTGAATCCATTTTTCTAAATTAATATAAATATCGGATAACGACTTAAAAATGTAATAAATTTTTTGATTTTATATATTTGGTCATTAAATTTTTTTTCGTTTATATTTATCACTTCAACTTGTTAAACTGTACACATTCAGTCTTTATGACCGGCTACTCAAGTTAACTAGGTAAAATTAACTTAATAAGGTAATATATTTCTCACTTTGTACACATTTAGTCCTTAATATTTGTGTACACATTTAGTCATTAATATTTTTTTTTGTTGCAAAATAAGTTATTTTTGTTTTTCTAATCATTTATTAATTATGAATGATTTCTTTACGTTTTCTCACGACATCTTACATGAGACAATTATTAATGAGGTGTTTGAGACTTTTGATGCTTATGTCCATCTTGATCTCGACTACTTGGTTGCTTAGGTCATGTGTTCTGAACGTCATAACTTCTCCATACGATCTCGGATTTTAACGATCTTTATATCTATGTGTTTGCATTTTAGTTTAGGGAAATCTTCAAAAAAGTCCTAAAATTTTACCGTAATTTACGAAAAAGTCTCAAACTAAAATTTGTTTACTAAAAAGCATGAATTACCGGTAAAAATGGCGATTTGACCCATTTTTTCCGGTTTACCGGTTTTATTACTTATATGTTTCACTAAAGTCCCATTATTTTACCCTAATTTGCGAATAAGTTCCAAAATAAATTTTACCGATGATTTGACCCTTTTCTTCATGTAACATACATTTTATCAGTTTCATTGCTGACCTAGACACCTAGTCATTAAATTAGCTGATAAGATGAATACGATGGGTTATATAATGTCACATTTACTGTAAAATTTGATATCCATCTCATCGGCTCATTTATGTCTATGTATCTACGTCAGCAATGAAACCAATAAAATGTGTGTTTCCAAGAAAAAAAAGGCAGAAAATGAGTTGATGTCTGATGAGATGGATATATTGGATTACATAAGATTAGATAGACAATTTGATATTTCTTATAAACGTAAAAAATAACGCAGTTGTTGTTAGTTTATGTAATTATTGTAGTCTTCGTTGGATGCATTTTATGTTCCAAAAAGATATAC